AATACACATATATATATAATTGTTGTATTCAATACAATATAATATAATATAATATATTATAATAATATAATAATATAATAATATATATATAGTGTACAAATATATATATACGTATGCGTGTACATGTACAGGTATATGTGTATATGTGTATATGCGTGTATGTGTGTAAGTGTGTATATGCATGTGTAAATGTGCATCTATGTTCCAATATATCTATACATCTATACATATAGACATATATAAACGTAAACATATACATATACAAGTATAAATTAACATATATGCAAACATGCATATATATGTAGTACAAATACATATACATATACCTATACCTATACATGTACATATATATATATATATATGAATAGTCATATATAATTATCTATTTATCGTCACGCACACGCCTTCCTCTCACGTCCATATATATACACATACCTGAGTATAATTGCTCCAGTGTAATCGCCAACTCATGCACCACATCCTTTCCCCTGTGTTGTCGATGTCTGCCTCCCATGCCGCCCATGCCGCCAAACATACCCCCCCCAAATCCTGGAAACATTTGACTGATGATGTCCTCAGGCGAAAACCCAGATCGATCCATACCCCCCTCTTTTAAACCTTGTTCACCCACTCGGTCGTATAATGCACGCTTCTCTGGATCTTCAAGTACTGCAAATTGATACGAGATATCTTTGAACTTCTCTTGAGCCTCGGCTTCTGGGTTGCGATCAGGGTGGTATCGCAGTGCGAGTTTGCGATAAGCCTTTTTAATCTCGGATGCGGATGCATCGGGTTTGACACCAAAGGTATCGTAGAATCCTGTTTCCTTCACCATGTTGTCTAAACTATATGCGTCAATGTATATTGCGTGTTTGTGTATACCTTCTTTGTATGTATTTACACGTGTGTGCGATATAGTATGTGGTGTGTAATGGTTTGTGTGATATGTGTTTAAATATTTAATCGTCGAGTGTCTCCATAAAGCTTCCTTTCAATAAACCTTTGTATCGGCTTCCAACTTTTGATATATTTACCTATTTACATACACATCCTTTTGTACAAATATACTCATAGAAATAGACTCGACGCATGCTTTTAAGTCCTTAAACCTTCTCTCATGCAATGACGATGAAGACTCCATCGCATTCACCACAACTCTCAGTGATCACTGAAGTCACAGCAATGCCTGAGTGCACAGAACAAACCAGAAATCTCTGCATTGAGTCAAGAACTTTCCCGATCCCCGAAGTTCAATACGTGAAACGCGATAAGTCTTGTACATACACAATAGGTCTGTACAATATCCGATAACGCTTTCTCGATATAATATGGACAGGTATATATACGTAGAAACGCTTTCAAATAGTTTTTATATATATAAATTTTAATCTTTATTTCGTATTAAGGGGCATAGCCTTCTTGTACCTGAAGTGTTAAAAAATAAGCAGTGGGTCCCGAGTTCCGAGACTGAGCGCGGAGAATGGTTCAACAACTTGCGAGAAACTTCGAGTGATCAGTCATCTTTATATCTGCCTCACCGATGGTACTGCGTCCCTCGTTTCATATGCAAGTGCCACAGATGGATCGATGCCTTTCTACTTGAAATGAACGTGTTAGAAGACGGATCCGAGTTGTAGAGGGAAAGTATACACTCACCTAATAGCATGATGTGTGTGATGGTAAGGAATATTTATCTCCTTGTACATTCTTAGTTACTGCCGAAAGGTATCTCGTAATATTATAAGTGAAGAACTTACGTAGGAGGCTATTTTCATAATCACTATTACTATGAAGTTGTGTTCGTGAGTTGATGCTATATCTGCACTAGTTGGGGTGCTTCGACTTATATTTGGTCTTGATCAAATTAGCGTACTGATTACTTTGGTGAATATAAAACGAGAAACCAGTTCCCTTTCAGCTGACGTACATAGGTCGCATATGGTTCATGTTGATACAACTTGCAATGTGCAACATCCATATTGACCGCGTGTTCTGTGTAATTCCGGGTACGTGTTAGGCGGTGGTGCTTGAAAACACCATATAGTATATTAATATATATATATATATATATAATATATTATGTTTTATTGATGATTTTTATACTATCTATTTGT